GCTATTACTAGAAATAGTCAATAGGCAGTGTTAATTCTATATGTAATTATATGTAAAAGATATTTGATGTATATCTTTTAAGAATAATTAAAACACTCGGATATTCTGAATACTTTTCGTCTGGTTCCTCAGAGAAGATAATATACTCTTTGTCACCACCTGCGGCTTCGGATTTCCTACTTTGGAGTCCTCTTCTTTTAAGCAAGCACCGGATTGGAATAGTCCCAGGCTAGAGTGTTCTTTGTGCTACAGAGTTTGCTGTGCCAGAGGATTTTGTAGGCTTTTATTGAAGTTAGACCAGAAGTCTTTCCTCATGCAACTTTTTTTGCTTTGACCTGTTTTCAGTCCACGATTGTCAGAAAGATCAGAGGTCCCATTTTCATGCAGCCTAACTATTTTTGATTAAGATCTGGATGTTTGGTTATAACATTTGTAAGAAAACCAGTAAATTCATAAATAAGAAATAATTTTGCGTTTTTTGCCTCTTGTGGGTATTGAATTAGGAACATACATTTGAAAACCAGAGAGCACTATTCACTGTGCTATTGACCCACTGGTTATTATTATTATTATTATTATTTTAGTAAATAAGTATTTATATATAATTTTTTTATTAAACTTTTTTAATTTATTATTATTATATTAACTATCTATTATATATATAATTAATTATAGCATATTACTTCTAATTTAGCTATATATAAACTTATAAATCTATATATTGAATAAAATTAATCAAAAAATAAAAATCTTATTATTAATTTAATCTATTTAACCTATTAATTTATTTTTATTAAGAAACAGATCTATCTTGTAGAAGTAAGTAGAATAATCAAATATCTTGATACTTTCATCTTAAATCTTTAAAAAGATAATATATTTGAATGGTTTAAAATTAAAAAATTTTTTTGAAACTTATATTATTAATTAATAAATTATATTATTTTATATTATATTTTTGATTTATATAGTTTTCGAATTAAAAAATATTTTGTATATATATATTTCTTAGTATATGTTTTAAAAATTATAGTTTTTGATTAATACAAACTATCAAATTTAAAAGTTTAAAATCAAATAAATTTAATTTCAATATTTTCTAATAAATATTCCAAAAGAAAAAAATTTAATTAATTTAAGTTATCAAATCTAGGAATATAAATATTAAATAGAATACAACTTTTATATAAAGATATATTGAATAAACTAGATTATCCAGAACTAATATCTAGATTAGCAATCTTTTCAAAATAATTTTATTTTTTAATAATATATTAGTAGAAATTATGAATTTTTATTGAAGTTAAACCAAAAATCTTTTTTTATACAACTTTTTCTACTTTGATCTATTTTCAATTTACAATTGTTAAAAAGACCAAAGGTTCCATTTTTATATAGCCCAATTGAATCTGGTTAACATTTGAATGTTTGAATATAATATCTATAAAAAAATTAATAAACTTATAAATAAAAGATAAATTTAATTATTTCTATTCTTTATATTTTCAAATATACACATGTCTATTTTTATTTTTTTCAATTACGTATTTTTGTTCCACACTGTATATTTTTGTTCATATCAAGTTACAAAGTCACAAATGTAATATTTGCAAGTTAAGATTTCATTCTACATGTGATAATTAGGCGCAGTAATAAGAAGGTTATGAACTGTAAAAATATGTGGCACGTTTGGTCACAAGGTCATCATTTACACGTATATAAAGGATACACCAACCGTTCTTTGAAAAAACGATGCATAACTGCACTATTTTCAGGGAAATAAACTATCATTGTAAAATCAGAACCTTCTTTTAAACCTACCGTGTTTTTTAGGTATGCAATTATATTCTTTATTCTTAGTGTTTTACTGACTCAATCAGTAAGGAAATTTATACTTCAATCCATTTGTTCTATTCTGAAATCGTTAATGCCAACGATTTCTCGTAAATAAGGTCTTCCAAAATAAGTTCGCGAGGTAACTGTCATTTACATTTGCAGTACTGTAATCTGCATTTACAAAAAAGCTATTTATTAATTCGGTTATAACCACGTTATACTTGCATTAGCATGGTAAATGTCGATTCTGAATCGCAACACTCTTTTAAAACTGTTGCGCCAAGAAAAGATGGAACAAATTGGAAGGGAAGAGTTCAAAACCTAAAAGAGTTATGCTTGGATGTATTGATGAAGAATCGTAGGCGTAAGTTTCTTTATTAAACTGTAATCTAATATTTTTATTTTCATAAACTAATCAGCATAAATAGCATTTTAATTCAGAATATTTAAGCAAATACAATAATTTGAGCTTTGTTTTGTTAGAATTACGTAAAGTTGGGAAAGCTCCTTATTGGCTTATGAAACCAATATATGATAAACTTGAACCGAGTGAATTAGAGGAACTGGAGAAACAGAATCCTGTAGGTTTATTTTGTGCATAATGGTTTTCTGTTATTGTCATCCATTGAAAAAAATATAATATTTTTATTACAGGGCCTCAAGGAAGATACAATGGGTAGGAAGACATGGGATTGGAAACTTTATCGTCATACTTAATTTATGAAAAGTTACTCATTTTATGCTTAACATTATGATTTAGAATTGTGGAAGAAGCATTGCATCGTGCAATTTCCAGACGAATATAGTAATTTACCAGATCAAAACTGGCGTAAACTATTTTTTGTAAGAATCGTTCACCTTTCTATCGTGTATCACTCGTTTCTATGTTTAATGTGTAAAAAAACTTTTTTCTTGTATAAAAGGAACAAAGAAATGAAGAAGCTCAAAGGTTGGGAAGAGCTTGCGAAAGACTACGAAAATCTACTCAGGAAAATAAGAAGAGAAGGAAAGTTAAATTGATTAGCCCCCTTAATCTTCCTCCCATGAAAAGAAATCATGGAGGTAATTTTATTTATCTTAATTTCTGTTAATGGAATTTTTTTTTTTCAATTTATGTAAATTGATTGTACTTCGCAACATTTATCTAGGATGGGTTAAATTAACACCGCTTCAGAGAGAACTCAAAAAAACGCTTAGATCAGGGGCATACGAACACCGTACTCATTTTACTCAACTCGAGTCTGGCCCTACTATGATGACTGTTCCCGTAGATTGGTTACAAGGTTCGAGAGTCACAAGCGAATCCAGTTATCGGGCGCCGGCTCAAGTTACATTGCCGTCAAAATATCTTCCAGTTACCATGAACGCCTGTAATGAGCAGCGACGTGTTGATACCAAACTTTCACTTGTCAATAGCAGAGAAGTTGACCGAAATCATCAATTGCGAACAGCTAATCGCAGTACTGCATCAAGTCCACATTTGATTCGACGTTCGTCTACAGCTACGTCTCCATCCAATATACTGCCGACATCTGTATCCATGGCATATGCTTCGTCATCATCTAAACGACCCCGTGAAATAGAATCAGCTACTCAACTAACAAAACGTTCTCGTGTCGAATCTTCCACAAATGTTTATTCACGAATACAAACGGTATCAAAACAACCTGGAGTCGTTGCTCCTGAGAAATTAAAGAACAGTAAACTGACCGCCACATCGTCTCGTTCCAGCGTTCCTGTTTCAAAAAAATTGTCAATCTCTGGTGATGATTCTAAATGTACTTCGACGGGTCCCTCTCGTCGAATGGAGCATACCACAACTTTAAAGCCTCGAAGTACAATAAAAGTCGTGAAGTCACCAGTTACAATTAGCTCTTCATCTATCAAAGCTATCAATACTACTGCAACCACAACCAACAGTGCTAGAAAAGTATCATCGATAAAAAAAGAGGTCAGACACGAACCATATCATACCAAGAAGCAACGTATTGTTCGTAATAATTAATGATTAGTTGTTACCGTTGTCTTTTCCAAACTCCTTATTCTAGCAATGTTCTTATTGTTTTCAATACGAATTTATTCAATTCAAATAAGATTGCATTAAAATCACAACACATTACACTTCCACGTCTATATGCTTTCAATATCACGGGAAAACATATTCAATGAATACCATCAGGATGGTATGATTTGATCAACAGATTTAGAATGTTTCATGAACCAGTAGACTGGATTTTTTATTATGCGAATACCTAATTCCAATTTACAACTATGTAAATCAATTATGAATGGCGTCGATATTTTTAATACAGATCAATTGAGCGGAAGAGATGAGTGGGTAGTAATATGACAACTATATTATATATTTGTATATCTTTATAATGTCAACCAATTGTACATATTTCTGACATGTATTTAATATTCGACCATTGATTAAAATATATATGAGAATACAATATTAGTGCTATTATTTTTTGTAGTGTCTATAGAAATTTATGAGTCTGGGTGTACATAATAAATAGTAACTTAATCGAAGGATTTATTATGATTTGAAGTTAAATTTTTATTTGTGCAACTACTTAATGAACAATGAACTAGAGCAAGAATGCTCCCAAGTACTATTCAGAAATGGTATAGGTTTTTTTTTTTATATTGAATAAGCTTTTAATAGAAACCAAGACAAGAAAATGCAAATGTTCATTGTAATAATGAATTTTGAAAATATTATTTTATATTTTTGTTTTACGTGAATATTACATTCGAAATTCTTTCCACTGATTTATGATATCTTTGCCACGGGGTTTAGTTATCGGTCTATTATTTCTTGGAAATGTGTATCGATAGGTCAAATTATCACCAACACATTATTAAAATTAATTATTTTTTAGAATCTGAATTTACGAATACTAAATATTACACGTTTTATAATTATGTATAACCCAATATATAATTTACATGTACCTAGGTAAATTGTAATCCAAGTGGACTTTTAATCCCTATAAAAATCTATCACTTTTTCTAGTTCGTTTGTATTTATAAGCAGTGGCTTGTCTTCTACAGACGGTTTGTTTCTGTCAAAAGATGTGCTGCCGATTTATTCTTATTCGTTCGATTTCTAGCCGCCGTCAACGCTGCTTCAATTCCAATAAAGTTATCATTGATTACGCCGTCATCTGCATCATCCATCGCGTCATCAAATAGCAACTCTTTTGGTAGATTGAGGCTGTAACCATCACCCGGGGTCCATGTGGCCCTTTGAATCAATAATTTTGTGCGATCCTTTGGTTCCAAAGTATCTCGTTCCTTCTCGTTACCTTCGTCAGTGGAACCAGATGTAGAGTTATTGTTTCCTTTGTTTAATTCACCTACAGTTTCGGCATTTTTCATTTTGGCCCTCTTCATTTCAGCTTTACGTGCTATAGAGCGTTCAATAGATTCTATGTATGTGGTGTATTTGACAATTTCATACAATAACCATTGTGACTTCTTTTCCCAATTAGCGACTGCTTTTGCATAATTCGGGTCACGCGGATTAAACTGTTTTAAAAGAAAAAAGTTAACATTGATCATAACCGAAAAACAATATTGAATGAGCTAAGTGATATTACAAGTTTTGACATAGGATCCCAAAAACCCTTGTGTTCGTTCAACTCATTCTCAAGTTCATCTCGGTATTTCTGCAGAGCCGATAGTTGAGATGTCTACATCATGAATTAAACCGCGAAGAAACATCAATATCACCAGAAATAAGCACATGCATGAAAAGAAAGTTATGGTAATACCTCATCATGGTTGCTTGGAACCGAAGGTGGTGTTGGTATTTTCCACTCGCTAATAAAAATACGATCGCTATTGTATGATGAAACGTTACTCACTACACTACGAGGGTCACTCATTACACTTCTAGAATCTTCGAACTCGCTAGCGTCATTATTTTGTTCAAAACATCTTCCCCATCCGTATTCCATATTGCTAACACCTCCCGGCAATGGCTCTTTACTTGACCTAGCTGCCCAATAATTGCATGTTGATACCCACTCATCTACCAATTCGGCAGTACCAGCTTGAAAGAAATAAAGACCGCCGTTACTCGTTAAAAGAGCAAACACAAAAGGACGATCACGATTGTAACCAGGTGGCGGCAATGCGTTCGTGATTGTGTGGCAAAGATCAACTTGTCCCATGACTGTTGCATTCGCCTACACGTGAAATACATTAAAATTATTAATGTTATTAGGTTGGTTGCAACGCTAAACTTTAATCTTACCATCCAATTTCCTCCACCGACTGCCCCCATTCTAGTAGAACCGCGGGAAGACTGAGTTTCAAATTTAAACATTCGAAGTTCACCCTTTTCAACAACCACAAAGCATTCTTTCCAGCTCCTGTCTTTTGCCTTCTTGCTTGTCGACTCCCGGGAATGCTTTCGAATCAACAATCCTTCTTTGGCGTATGGAGCACCGGACAGGTATAATTCCAATGATTCGTCAGTATCAATAGAATCCGTGACTGAAGCTTTGTCATCTTCGCATTCTTCCTCCGTTATTGCCGTTGTGATTTCTGTCTCACATGACGATGTGCGACGTAGAGAAAGTGAAGACGGTCCTGATCTTGCCTGACTATCATTCTGGAAGAAACGATGTGAATATCAGTATAATGCGATAGCATGAATAAAAAAAAAATAAATTATATATATATATATATACTCCGCCGCTAATATCACTTCCTCCGCTTATTACACTTGGGCTTGGAGAAATTCTTCGAGCTTTTGCAATGAGGGTGTTAAGTCTAGTGTTCGGGTAGCCCGAATGACTAAGACTGCGGTGCAAACCCGAGGGAAGAGGACTAGATGGTTTTTCAGCATCCGACAAAAGTGGCAGTAGTATCTGACTTGATTTAATAGAGTTATACATTTCTTTTAAAAGATTTTCCAATTCTAACTCCCATTGCCGTGAAGAACCATTCACCGCGAACGACAAGTTCGTCACACTCGAATTGGGATTACCAAGCCAACTTTTGATGCTACTGCT